AGAAAGAAAGAAAGAAAGAAAGAAAGAAAGAAAGAAAGAAAGAAAGAGGAGGGAGGGAGGGAGAAAGGGAAAAAAGAAAAAAGCGAGGGAGGCAGAAAGGAAAAGGAAGGAAGGAAGGAAGGAAGATTATTTTATATTATGCACCCAAATTATTTCCTCATTTGTTAGATTTAAATCCCACAATTTATCCAGGAACTCAAAGAGAGTTAAGATAACAGTCTCTAATTTTAAGGGACCAGATGAGGAGATTAAAAATGAGGAGATTATGAGTTCTGGTCCCCTTTTAGGCATAAAAATCGGCTGGGTGACTTTGGGCCAGTAGTTCTGTATTTTTCCTTGAATTTTTACAATGAAAAAAAGGTACAATGTATTGTAATTATTGTAATTTTAACTGCTATATTTTGATACCATGATTATTACTAATAAGAGTTTTGGATTTAACACTTTATTGCACTACATTGTACTGAAATATATTAGTTTATTTTAGATTATATATCTGTGCAATAGGAAAGGAAACAACTGTAGACTTTAGAAAAATGTAACATCGACAGACGAAATGTTTAAACCAGTTACAGCAGATATTTCCTTTAAAAAAAACCACCTCTGAATTTAAACAGCATTGCTCTTGAACTGTTTACTGTGCAGGATATTAAAACGTATTTGTAATAACTATTCATCTCTTTTTAGCAAATGGCAGGGGACTGCAAGACCACAGCCCATGAAATACTTTCAGAATAAAGCCAACTTTAAAAGAAAACCTCCAGAAAGAACAATTCCCTAAGATTTAAGGTCAATCGATCAGAATAGAGCTGGAAGGGACCTTGGAGGTCTTCTAGTCCAGCCCCCTGCTCAAGCAGGAGACCCTATAACATTTCAGACAAGTAACTGTCCAGTCTCTTCTTAAAACCCTCCAGTAATGAAGCACCCACAACTTCTGCAGGCAACTTCTGTTCCACTGGTTGATTGTCCTCACTATTAGGAAGTTTCTCCTTGATTCCAGGTTGCTTCCCTCCTTGATTACTTTCCAGCCTTATTGCTTCTTGTCCTGCCTTCAGGTACTTTGGAGAATACCTTGACTCCCTCTTCTTTGGGGCAGCCCCTCAAATATTGGAAGACTGCTATCATGTCACTCCTAGTCCTGTTTTTCATTAAACTAGACGTACCCAATTCTTTATTGAAGTTCTTTCTTAGGAGTCTCAAAAGACACTTGATACTTGGAAGTTGTGGAGAAGGGGATACGTGCGTGTGTGTGTGTGTGTGTGTGTGTGTAGGTGTAGGTGTGTGTGTAGGTGTGTATGTATTTCTGTTATTGGATAAGACACATTACTTGAGTGCAGTTCCCAGTTTCAACTCCTGCAAAGAAAAGAATGGAAGGAAGTTGTACAAGATCATTATTTGCGGTTATCTAGGATTGCTGACGTCAGTTCAATTGGAGTGTATACAACTCAAGAGGTGATAGCACATCCAGTTGTGAACTGCTTTGTGTCCTCAACTGCTTTCTGACCTCAGAAAGTCAGCAAGTTCATTTGAATGGTGAATTACCTATATTCAGTGGTGGGATTCATTTTTTTTTTACTACTGCTTCTGTGGGCATGGCTTGGTGGGCATGGCTTAGTGGGCGTGGCAAGGGAAGGTTACTGCAAAATCCCCTCTCCCTCCCCACCCCACTAACCTGCTTTCCAGCTCTGT